ATATATATATATATGTATATATACATTGACAAGTCATGGTGATGTGAAGATCTGAATAGGACATTCTAAAACTGCACTAACGCTGCAGAGACGGAAATCAGGGCACCAGAGCTATTTTTTGTCCCGCCGTCACGTCTTCTTTCTCGGATTGAGGGTGTGGCCTATTTACAGTTAATAGCAGTTTTGTATGTTATTGTTAGGCCATTATTGGTCAGTATTGACACGTACAGTACATATGTCTCATATCACATCTGGTTGATCGATCCATTATTGGTCAGTATTGACACGTACATATGTCTCATATCACATTTGGTTGATCGATCGCTTTTTTTTTTTATGCTATTGAGAACGCTCCAGTGTTAACTATTATCTCCACTTTGTCTAGTCGGCCTGTATTGAGGTCACGGTCTTGAATGAGTCCTGACTGACGCATTTGCTCTCGTTACTTTACCATCGCTTTTGTGGCGCTGATACGTTTCTTCCGCCTAGTACCAGGAATTATTTCTACGTAGTTCTTGCTTCCGATCACCGTCTGCAATGAACATCCTTTAGGAATTACACAAATTTTACCTCGTCGGTGGTTTTATCTCCAGGTGTCGTCGGATGTGCCTGGACTTCCTCGTCAGTCCTTTTGTCAATACCACTTAACAGCAAACTCTTAGTGTTTTTTTTTTTACAAAAACTTTTTACACTACAACCAGTATCTGGAAGTAGGGCCAAAACCAATTACCAGAGTGTGATGCACATAAGTGTGGCTGTAAACGTAATATAATTTACATATAATATATATATATATATAAGACGTTATCATTATTTATGACTCTTCCTCTGTCCATTATTTACTTCCTACATTCCTATTTCTCAAACTGGTGAGCTTTTTTTTTTTTTTTTTAGCACTTAACAATTTGTGTTTTTTTTTTTTTTATTGCACAAATTAAAATGCGTCATCCAGTTTATTCGGTTTTAAAGCTATGTGTATTATGCCGGATCGTATCAAACGGTGATTCAAATCATGGGAATGCGAAGCAGCGTCTTTTTCTCGATAAGAGTGCAGTGGGATTACAGTTGTCTGTTGCGAATGGAATCTGAAGGTATCACGTTAGTGATTGTTGTGAATAATGATCAGTATTATTATTTCAATATTGTTGTGAATAATGATCAGTATTATTATATTTCAATTTCTTTGCTTTCCACGTGTGATACCAATGCGTTTGTGTGTCTTTTTGGCGTGAACATTTGCATGCATGAAGACTTTAACTTTCCTCTATTTACTCCTGCTGATTTGTGTCTCTTTTTTTTTGGGTACGAACATTATTTGTACTAGCCAGATGTCCATATTTTTTGTATCAGCATCTCGGTACCAGAGTAATAAAGCTTAAATGATTAATGATCATCAAGACTTTGGTTTATGTTTATGTATTTCACACGTTCCCTTTCAATAGTCAGGAACTAGCCCGGGACACTCTCTTTGGAGACGTTCCCTTTCAATAGTCAGGAACTAGTCGCACCAGTCACAGGATGAAAAAAAAAGTCCACAGGCCTAGAGTGCCCTCTAGTGGCTGTGCGTGTAAAAAAAATAGTGAACATGTAAAGTTTCAGTGATACTGGAGTAGCAGATACTGGTACACAAGCCTAAAGCGCCCTCTGGTGGCTGTCAGTGTGAAAGTAACAAACATGTGAAATTATATATTTTTATATATGTATATGTCACACCTGATTATAGGTCGCAAACCCAGCCAAAGGATGGAAAAAAAAGTGCGACTTATAGTCCGGAAAATACTATAAATTCTAGGAAAAGGACATTAATCTCATGACCTGAGGTCATAATGCAGCAGTTTACTAAAGGTGAACTTCACCTTCATAGGGAATAAATGTATAAATATATATATAAATATATGTTAAGTCCAAAGATATACACTTAATTACCTAATTAAAAAAAACTGAAAAATATGTGAAAAACGTGCCAGAACGGTTCATGTCGATCAAATTTGATTTATTATTACAAAATATACCAAACAGTGACCTATGAACTATTTCACAGTTCGCCCAGACATTGCTAATAAAAACAGAAACTGGCCAAAAAAAAAAACGCGTAGCCAAAAAAATTAATTAAATATTAAAACCAATTACGCATCGACGTTTTAAAAGGGCATTTAAACCCTGTTAAAATAAATTTAAAAAAAAAGAGTTACCGAGTTCATTTTTAATCCAAATAAATATGAACAACATAGTCTTAGAACACACAAAAAGTAGCACAATACCAGGACAGTACATTAGAATTCAAAATACTTATTTTAAAACCATACTGTATTTACAGTCAGAGTTGAACTCACTTCACACTCATGTGCAACAAACGCTCAACACCTTCTCCAAATAAATGTCTAAAATGTCCACCACAGCAACGCTAGGACTTGGCCACTTGTACAGCACGTTGAGCTGCTCACAACGATAGAGATGTGATTTTTTTTTTTTTTTTTTTTTTTCTCAATACAGATGTTGGTAGGAATACTGCACACGCTTAAAATACGGTTTTACATGAATGAATTTTCATGCAGATTGTTTCTGGCCCTTCTCACTTATGGATCGTGCATCATGAACCCCTGATAACAGAAATAAACTGAAAAGTTAATAAATAAATAAAAAAAGGAAAAGTTCAAGTATTTTTAAGTGTAGTAATTCAAAGGTACTCTGGAGCTCTGTATACTCACTCTTAGTGATAAAACGATAAAGGGAAAACTATGAAAAGCTAAGCTTGTCTAGCGCAGGCGTGGGCAAACTGTTTGACTCGCGGGCAACAACTGTCCTAAAATTGAACAGGGGGGGGGGCCGGGTTAAAGTTAAATGGCATGTAAAAGCCATTCATAAAGGTTGAAATGTTGTTTTTCCTACGCCATCTATTGGGAAAACATGGGTATTGCAGGGAAAAGGCAGAAGTATAATGACAATATAAATCAATTATATCATTTTGAAAAATTTGGCGGGCCGGATTAAAAAGTTCATTTGGCCGCATCCGGCCCCCGGGCCTTAGTTTGCCCATGCCTGGTCTAGTGTCATGTGTATACCAAATGACCAGCAGTTGATTTTCAAATACTTACGACAGATACAAAAATGTTACAAGCTTCACTTGTATCAGAAATCCAAAAACCTAAAAAACATCACATTAAGACAACGATTTGACGTATAATGAAGTTACCGTACAGTTTTTAAATGTCAGTTAAAGTGCATAAAAAAAATCAACCCGGTTAAGGACGTAATCGTCCTGTTTCAGAACTGTGACTCCGTTCCTTGAACATGTTTTTTTTTTTTAATTTTTTTATCCCCACTGATCCCTGTGATCTTTCTCCGTACACTGCTGCTGCTGCAGGATGCTAAGGGTTCCGCAGAAGTACTCCGAAGACGAAGGTCGCAGACCTCCCAGCTGCCGGATGGACTTGCACATGGGACACGGGTAGTCGGACAGACCCTCGATGTCCTCGAAGGCGAGGTTGACGATCTGGTCGCAGCATGGGTTGCAGTACAGGTGGCCGCAGGAAAGACGCTTCAGACGTGCGTCGTAGGTGATGCAGTACTGACAGTGTGGCAGGTCAGGACCCAGTGACAAGGAGCCAGTCAGTGAGCTGCTCTCCAGGCTGACCTGGCTGGGGCTCAGTTTGGTGGGAGACCTTAGCGGGAGAGGACAATTGAGTTGTGACAGTTGGAATTAGGTTAGCATTTTTGTAATGATTCATATGGAGAGGATCTTTTTCAACTCCTAGCCACTAGAGGGCACCCTAATGGGGATGGACGATATTAACTTTTTACTGATATGCCGATATTGTCCAAACGCTTATTTCCGATTCCTATGCCGATATTGTCCAAACACTTATTTCCGATTCTGATATCTACCATATACCGATATGTGCAGACGTTTGGGTTAAAGGCAGAGGACACAAAATACAAATAATAGTTTCAGTTGCACTTCAAAACTATTTTTTAGGTCACATCATCTGGGTGAAACCCAGGCGTTGCGTTATCGGGTTTTCATTATCGGAGGAAAAACTGATAACGATTCTTACCAATGTTACATAATTAAGCTAAAATCAGCTGATAAGTCGATAAGTCGATAGTCAATGATTGGACAGGCCCAAATATGGAAATGTTTTTTTAGGGGATGTTCGAGATGAACTTTTTGCCAATATCCGATATGTCAATATTGACCAAACACTTAATTTCTGATTCCGATATCTACATACGCAGCCATTTCCCCCCCAAACCTGTAGAAAATGTCCCGAGACCCCACAAGTGATTCCAGCATATTTGGCGAGACCCAGGCATCGTGTTATCGGATTTTCATTATCGGAGGAAAAACAGATAACAATTCTTACAGATATTTCGTAATTATGCTAAAATCGGTTAGCCGATATTATTGGACGTCCCTAGATAACTAACTACGGTTAGCCGATATTATTGGACATCCCTAGATAACTAATAATTCACTACCAAAAAATTAGAACAAAATGGAGAGTGACAGGAGTTAAAAGTGGAGGGCGCGCCCCCTAGGGGGGGGTGCTATGCCATTGCAAGGGATAGCACAGCATATTGTCCAATGCTGTAAATGTGTAACAAGAGACTGGCAAATTCTGATTGGTTGAAGGTGGTGTCAAATGAATATCTGATAATAATATTGTAAAGGAGGCTTTTATTTTGAATTCTTTTTTTTCCCCTCGATTTTTTCTGTTGCCCGTTCAATCTGCTCGGAGCACATAAAATCTCACTCCTGGCTCATATTTATGTCATGTTCCTGTACACGGTTACACCGGAGAGACATTCACCTCTTCTGTCTGTTTGCGTAACATAACCTGGAACTGCAGACACCAGGCTGAAATGCATATAACGGTAATTCTAACATGTTGTCATAACAACAGTGAAGTGAGAAAGGAAAACCTTTTAATGATTCGGGACATAAATCAAAAGAAAAAAAAAAAACCCAACCCAGATGTATCATCTATAGCACGGGTGTCAATCTCATTTTGGTTCAGGGGCCATGATCGTGACATAATTACCGATAAATAAGAATTAGTTGGTTTTTTTACCCTTTTGTTTCCATGCAAAGAATTACAAATATATTAGAGAATATTTGTATTTAATGAAATGTCATTTGACAAAACATCACTAACATGTACTTCTGCTTTTTTTTTTTTTTTTTTCCATTTTCACAATTCATCAATTGGACCAGATTAAATCCACTAGTGGCACGGTTTTGGCCCACGGGCCTTGTGTTTGACCTCCCTGATCTACGATATGCTGGGGAACTTTTAACATGCAAATACTAATAATTATAATAATAATAATAATAATAATAATAATAATAATAATAATAACATGGAGGTAATTTTAAAATTATACTTTTACGACAATATTTTATTATCAGATGTTTATTTTATTGATGTATTTATTTAATAAATATATAAATATATTTGTAATAGACCACAACGTTTTTTAAGAAAAAATAATCACATAATCACCCTCAGGTAAGGAAATCATTTTTTCCATTCACTTTATTTGTTTCACATTTGCATTTTTTTTTTTTAAATCATGGCTAATTCCAGCGACCACTTGTCTGCTCCCTTTTGTTTAACTGTCTTTGCCTAAGTCAAACTAGTCAAATACCTTAGTGTGAAATCTGTCAAATATGTTATTATACGATTTCAATCTCTTTGGTCGGAGGAAACCCAGGTTGACGCGTGTCTTCTTGCTGCTTCAATTAGTTGAATGGGTGGTTAAAACGTAGGTTGCCCGGAATCAGCTCACCTTGAGGGCGACGACTCCCTCCAACAGTCGATTCTGAGAGCAGCGAGGATCCTCCACAGCAGATCCATGCCACCTCCTCCTCTCATCCTAACATTCGGACTTCACATTTCATCCAGCTGCATCACGGTCCAGTAAACACAGCACAAGTAACGAAGAAAGAAAAGAAAAAAAAACCCGACAGTCACACAAATTCACATATAGAAATGCCACGAATTCTAATCGCCACGACCATCAGTGCGCAGGGAGGTAAACAACGCAGAGCCTTCATGTCCGCGTCGCCGTCTGCACTGATCACTGAACACTGCTCCCTCCACTTGTTCCTTTCCTTGTCCTCCGGCTCATGCTCCTCCCTTTTCTTCCTCTCCTTTCCCTGCTATCGCCTATACAAGAGCAGGACGGAAGAGGGCGCAGATGAGAAGGTTTGATTTGACACAGGGACATAACATGGTATGTATAGATTAGCGAGGGAGCTACTTTTCAAACAACCAGGCCGAAATGTTTTACCTTCATTGAAAACTTTAAATAAACGATTTCTCATATAAACAGAATGTACTTCATATATACACTGTGTTCTGAGATACTTTAATGAATGATACGGAGAGGGAACACAACAATATGGTGACTAGTTGAGTCACTGTGATTAGCATATATCATATTAGCATATATCTTAATTTATTGTAGTTGCCCATGATCTACCAACACTCCCGCCTACTGATAATCCTAGTAGATTGCATCATACCTATTGAATGTATTTGGGTGAACCACTAACTGTTCCAGTGAATTTGTTATTGCTACTTCTCGTCAGTCTTCACACGATATTGGGCTAAACATGCTGTATGTTAGCTGTTAGCTGTTAGCAGTTAGCGGTAGGGGCAGACCGTTTAGATTTACAAATGTTAATTTCTTTTAAAAATAATTTATGACTGAAGAAAAGCTGTGGTCTCTTTTGTTTAAAAACAAAAATAATATTTTCTTTTTTTTCTAATTTATGACTGAAGAAAAGCTGTGGTATACCCACGCTGATTTTTGTCTCTTTTGTTTAAAAAAAAGTAGAAGAAAAATAATATTTTCTTTTTTTTCCGACTGTTAAATGAAAAGTAATTCGGCTGTACTTTACTGCATCACGACAGCTGAACTAGTACAAAGGTCTGTGTACTTGGTATGCCTTGGACTATTAAATGAATTAATACATACATTTTGATATTTTGTTTTTATATACCAGAGCCATTAACATTAAACGGGGGAGGTTTTCTAAAATTAGATTTCATTAAGTATGATTTATGGATTTTTTTTTTTTTTTTTTGCATGAAAACAAAGGGCAAAAGACTGACTTTTTAACATTTATAGGTAATTATGTTACGATTGTACCTGTCCGGCCCACTTGACTACTATCAGGCTACATCAGTGATGCGAATAAAACACCTTTGCTTTCTTTACCTGGGCCTTTTTTTTTTTTTTTTTCCCTAAATCACAAATTGGGAGCAGAGCATTAGCTTGACAGGGTGTGGGCTGGTCCTATTCACTCCATTGCACCAACCAATTGGCATATACTGTAGGGCGCCAGTGATAGTGTATTGCAGCGGTAACACTCTCGTACAGCTTACCCCGAAACACCTTTACCCCCTTGACTTTACACCTACATCACTAAGAAAAGAAAGACTTTTTTAAAATTCCATTTATGTCAAAATAAAACCGCTTCGTGCTTCCCTCGATCCTAGGACTGTATAGAGCTTCAACAGAGGCGCAGGGGGAGGAGGACGAGGAGGAAGAGGAGGAAGGCGATGCTACAACGTCACAGTACATCGCCGGACTGTCCAGTAACTCTCTGCACATAACCAGAACGTAGGAAAACACAAATTGCGGTCACCCTGAAAAGGTGCTGCCTGACCTTCTCAAAACCAAGAGGTAAGGACTGGTTTAGAACCATTTCTTTTACACATTCACCTTCACTTTCTTTTTTTTTTTTTAAATATATATAACGCACTATTTTCCCCTTGCTCTGCCGGTTTCTTACAGAAATGCTTTCAGGGGCTGAATGACATTTTGACGAACATTCTCGAAAACGTGATTTAGCTCGACCTTTATTATTATTATTATTATTTCTACTCGTTGAAAACGCGGCGAATGTATCGCCAAATCTTCCAAATAGGCAGGTTGACCTAAGGTGCTGAGATATTTAACCGGAAATATTATAGTGGGGGATTCTTAACGTTGTTCTTGTGCATGCGTAACGAACACCGCCATCGTCCTTATCACTGAATATAATAAAGGGTACAATTTCGAGGTGACGGGAATGAACAGAACGACACGTTTGGAATATGTCGTCAGTCGTTGTATAATTTGTCTGTTGCTAACATCTTTTCAGTTATTCTATGATGATGCTCCGGGCTGCAGCGTTCCTCTCCCCTCCTCCCATCTCTTGCGCCACATTTTCTTCACATATAAGCACCTCTAATCATTTTCTTAAAATAAAAAAAATAAATAAAAAAATAAAAAAACACATCATGTTTTAGGATATAGCCCTTCTCCCTTTAAAGTGCCATATCGTTCGGCTGATGTCATTTTCAACACGCAGACGCTGTCGGCGTGTCCTGGCCTGTGTTTTCCGCCACGATGACCTTGTAGAAAGAAACCCAGCGGAGAAAATGTGACAGAGGCGGAGTGATGGTGGAGCAGGGTGTAATGTTGCTCTGCAGTGGTTCATGACAGCATTGCTGCAGCGACGTATGTTCGAATAGGTATTCAAACAGTCAAATTCGGATATGCCATGTATCGTCATCTCCAGCTTGGAGGTTGGGAACACTAGAGCCCTTGGTTCAGAAATAGGAAATTCACCCATTTTTTTTGTATTTCACTGCGGTGCAGCAATTGACAGCCGTGTAATCGTTAAACGCAGTCTCAGAAAATGGTTCAATTGCGGGTGATTTTGGGTTATAGAGAGACGTGTGTTTGGGTGAGAAGCTAGAATTATGTGAAGGAAATGCACAGTTGTCTATAGTTGTGTTATTTATATAGTTTTTCTTCTATAAAGTAATGATATACAGTATATTACTGTTGATATATATTAAAAGTTGCTTGTGACCAGAATTTTACCAGACTAATTTGAAATCAGATGTGCCAAATTTGGATGCAAACACAGCTAGTTGCACGGCTCGCTGCTAAACGCGTGCCTCGCTCAACACTGTTTCACACAGACAGAACTGTATCTTTAGCATCTAGGTCATTCATGGGCAAACTACGGCCCGGGGGGCCAGATGCGGACCATTCAGCTTTTTAAATCCGGCCCACCAAACCTTTCCAAATAATATAATTTATTTATATTATCATTATACTTCTGTCTTTTCCCTGCAATACCCACGTTTCCCCAATAGATGGGGTAGAAAATGATAAAAGCATTTTTAGCCTTTATGCATGACTTTATCTTAGTTCGCATGAAGGTGTGCAAACAAAATTACACGTGTTTATGCTGTTTTTTTAATATTCGATATGCTGATATTTTCAAAAAAATCCGATTCCGATACCAAAGGATACCGATGTATGCAAATAAACAGCCCTTAAACAGTTTTTGGGTCACATCTCTCATGGAATTAACACACTTACTCGAGGCTTCCAGAAAATTAGCTTCATCTGTACAAAAGCAATTTTTAAAGTGATTCCTGCGTATTTGGCAAAACCGCGCGCGTTGTCTTATCCGGTTCTCATTATCGGAAGAAAAGCCAATAACGATTCTTACCAGTATTGCATAATTATGCTTATATCGGGCCAGTAATATTGGTCGGCTGATATTGTCGGCCATCCCTAAAAAAGTAAGAAGTTTTAAAAGTGCAGCATCATCTTTATGGATTTGCAAGCTTCGTTTTAACATTCATTTTTTGTAAAAAAAACAAAACAAAACAAAAAAACTATCAGTTGATTTCCATGCATTGTCTGGATTGATATTGCTTGTGTTTTTTTTGTAGCTAAAACCTGGTGAATAGTTTAATTTCAGTTAATACAGTGTTTGCTGTGTTCTTTATGGGTAGCGTCTGTGATAGTCATATAGACGGCTTTTTGTACAGCATAAAACAATTGGTTTCAGCTTGAGTTGTTAAGCACTTAGCAGCCTAGGCATTATCTAACTGCCTGGATTGCTCCTACTAATATGGCCCTCCTACTAAATTAGCCATTTTACCGCCTACAAAAAGTTCAAGGTTATTATCAGGTTTAAGTGTAATAAACTGCCTCTAATCTAATTCTGTAGCAGTTTGTCGTAGAAGAACTGAATGTCAGTGTTTAAGAAAAATAATTATTTTGGTGTATAAACACAGTGGTTTGATTGTGGATAGACTGTGTCACTTGTTATTTTTAACTCGTGCTGTTGCTGATGCTGTTGACATTTTCTGCACCAGAAAGCATTCCCTTGTTTTTTGGCTTCCCTAAAATAACTCTGATGGTGGCAGTTGGCTTCCCTAAAATAACTCTGATGGTTGAACAATTCTTTAAGGCTTGTGTAAAAGCTATGTCTTACGCTACAGATATAACAATTCATCTTACCGTTGTCCCCTACAGCGCATAAAACAAAAGTCAGTAAATACCATAATAAATCATGAACCCCAGAAACTTACCAAACCTTGTTGTATTCACCCTTTCTCAAAGCCTGTAGTTATCACTTGAATTCCATGAAAAAGGAAGTCGATTAAATACAGCAAGAAGTTACATTTGTCACTATAAGGTACAGAGGTGGGACCAAGTCATTGCTTTGCAAGTCACAAGCAAGTCTCAAGTCTTTGCACTCAAGTCCGAGTCAAGTCTCAAGTCAAAATAGGCAAAGTCCGAGTCGAGTCC